AATAGCCCTTTTAGGGTCTCCAGCTGGTGGAATTCAAAATTCCATTGGTTCTGTTGGAACAGGCCAGCAGAATACTCCATCACTAAGTAATCCTAATCCGATTGACCCCAGCTCCATGCAACGAGCCTACGCTGCCCTCGGACTGCCATATGGCAACCAGCCGCAAACACAGTTGCAGCCCCAGGTACAAGGCCAACAACCAGCACAGCCTCAGGCTCACCAGCAAATGAGGACCATTAATGCACTGGGTAGGTGGAAAAAAAAGGGCGGAGTGGGGGTGGTGGGACAAGAGGAAAATAAGTTGAAAAAAGTAACTCGAACTGTAGAATACATAGGACAAACAGTTTAGTGGGTCACTTATTCAGAGTAGTGACTTTCTGTTAATGCTGCTTAGTAACAAATTTCAGTATGTTAGTCTTGAATATTAGAAAGCTTTTTATGTATGGCTTTTGCCACATGGCAATAATTCTAGTTTCTTCTAAAATGTGCCAGTAGCTTATTCTTATTCAACATATTTAGCTGTAATTCCTTAGCTCTTTTGGTTGGTTTAACCAAAGTGGTTCAGCCGTCTAGCAGGTATTTCTATCTCAGATCCTAGCTTCTTCCTGATAATTAACTGTTAATGTTACTTTCTTTCTGGCTTATTGATCTTAAATCTAACAAATTTATTTTTTTTATATAAGAATTATTCAACCTGGCATTAGTTTTTCATTCCATAGTAGTTAAGGATACGCATCATAGTAGGTGTTAATATGTAAGTATTTTTCTGATGCACTATTTCTTTGGCTAGTCACTTGGATTCATAAAGTACCTTTTTTTCTATTTTTTTTAAATAAAAATTATGACGAGGTACTCATGATGTTTATTTTTTTCCCCAAAGGAGCCAACCAGATGAACCTTCCCACAGGAGGAATAACAACAGACCAGCAAGCTAGTCTAATTTCTGAAACAGCTCTTCCAACATCCCTTGGGACAAATAAGTAATGCATATATTTTCATTCTTGCTCAATTAATCATTCGTTTACATGCTTTATGAAAGTAAATGAAGAACTTCCCTTAAATACATTATTATTGCTTGAAGTGATCAGTCATGCCTATGGCTGTGGTCTTTTCCTATTTCAGTTCTAAACCTACCACTTTTTTGCTGAAGAGCACAAAAATAGTTAGTACTTTTAAATGAATTCTCAAAGAAAGATTATTCTGTATATTTTTAAGTGTATAAAAAAAATAGCTTAACAGTTATGATTCTTTATCACTCATGTATCATGTCTTGTAAACTCCTGGAACTTTGTTGCTATATGCTT